CCAGATCTGTGCCTTGCAATAATCCTATCTCTGAGCTCTGCAGGCAGTTCCCTTGACCTCATGGCTTTTGCTCTGGTACAGTGTGCATTGCCAGCTGTGAGGCCTTCTATAGAGAGGTGTGTGCCTTTCCAATTCATGTCCAATCAATTTAATTTACCACAGGTGGACTTCAAGGTGTAGAAACAGCTCAGCAACTATCAAGAGGCACCTGAGCTAAATTTCAAGTGGTATTGCAAAGGGTCTGATGCCAATGTGATATTTCAGTTTTTCCTTTTTAATAAATTTACAGACATTTCTAAAATTCTGTTTTCACTTTGTGATTATGGGGTACTGAGTGTAGATTAATGAGAAAAAAAATGAATTTGAACAATTGAGTGAAGGCGGTCTGAATACTTTCCAAATGCACTGTACGTAAGTTTTTACTTGACACTTTTGACCAATATGAAGTCTTATTGGGGGCAGTACTACCCCACACATTATTGTATTGTTAGCTTTCAGGAGTATCATAGATTCTTTGATTTCATTTGCTATCATCATAGCTTTCTTACAAGTATTTTTATCATCTAATGCAAAGGAGAAATCAATATTTGTGCAACCAACAGTAGTCATTCCCGGTCTGGATTGGCTCATGAATCAGTAACAGCCTATCAGGCCAGTTGTTGTTGTTTTTTTAATCTGTCCCACTACACAAATTCTTATATACTTTAGCCAGATTTTTTTTTTCAAGAGTATAAAATTTGAATATTTGGATAAATAGAAGAGAAATACAAAACTTCATAATTAGATAAAATAAGAGGAATGAAGCTGGTTTGGAAATATGTGTAAATGTGAGAAGTCCACAGCTGACATAAAGAAGTCTGTTGTGGATTTGATTACTATTTAGTGACCAATATTCACTACCAAACACAACACCTTCCTTAGAATTGCTGCATAAGAATAATAGTTATTTTGGCAACTCCATTTGAAGTTGAATTGAATTGAAATTGAAGAAGGGAAATTCAACTGCATGCTTGAATCAATAGTTAGGGGAAACTTTGAGATTATTGTTTAGTTCAGCTTGGTGAAATTTCTGAGTCTGTACTGATTATTGAGGGAGATCTTGAAGTTCAGACTAATATATTCTTGTAAAATTCTTTTCCTTAATGTATGTGACTACAGTCTTGCATGCTATCCTTATTATGGTTCAAGCAACAACACTCAATGTAGCCTTCAACTCCCACAATAAATCACTTCTTACTATCATGATGTCTAACAATGTAAGTGTTGGAAGGATCTAATATATGTCTTACCTGTCACTATCGCTGTTTTTAAGAAGTAATAATTTGTTTTTGTAGAAATTTTCTTTTAAATCCAGACTTTTCTAAAATGGGAATGTTGCTTTCTTTAAATTGCAGTTTGTGGAAATAAAAGGAAGTGTTTTCAAGAAATTTGAGAAGAACAACTTGTTTCAGATGTCGAACAGTGGTATGTATATTTTTATGTGATAGCAATTCATTTATTCATGCTACTTTTTATGTGTAAAAAGTCTGAAATCTGTGGTGGATTTGGTGATACTGATTCATACATGTTCTCAGATTATGGGCTGTGTTCTGGGGGTAGATGGGCATAAACAACTTAGAGAGGGGTCACAAATGTTTAAAGGCATGTGCAGGCAAAGTCAGAAGGCTCTCAAACTCATTCCTATAAAGAAAATCTGGAAATAGCTGGAGCAAGATCTAAGTGATGGCTAACCCCACACATCTAGCTGTCTGTCAAAACCATCTGCCAAGCATAACAGTTTCATTTATTATTTAGCTATATTTGTTTGACCTTTCATATCAGCCGCAAAATCCAAACAACCCATATACAGCAGCCCAAAATTGAGAGCTTGAATTTCTGTAGTCCAAATGTGGTAGCTCTAGTTTTATTCATGAGGTTGGAATATGCAAATTCATTTATCATTTTAGAGATCATGCATGGTGACACAAATTTTGAAGGCCATTGAACTATCTAAATGGAATTTGTGTGCTTTTCCATTTGACTAAGGACTTTCTCAATCCTTTATTGTATCTAGTTCTTGATTACTAGGCCTTATTTTGGATGTGTAGATAGAAATGGGTCAAGTTGGGGAAAGCAAGAAGGAAGACACCTGTTAAATGTATGATTTATGCTTACAGAGATTGTTCTATAAAATTTTAGGCTAATAAAGTTTTACCTTTGTTTTGTATTTGGCTCAGTTGGAGCATTCATGCAAGCACTTTTCATTTTAAATCACTGAGTGACGGCACTGCAGGGTCCTCAGCCAGCCCAGTAAGTCTAATAAACCAGCCAATAAATAAAATACACGTGGTCTTCAGTTAGCAACAGTAATTGGGACTGGAATTTCAATTGCTAAGCAATGCGGTCGTAAGGTGTGATGTCATGTGACCACATCGCTTACTGACAGCAATCCCTGCAGTCCCCATTGCCATTGTTAAGCGAGGACCTCATGTGACTGACTTGCAACTTCCTGCTGGCTTCCCACAAGCGAAGTCAGTGCAGAAGCCAGCAGGAAATTATGAGTCCTGGGCGGCTCACAAGCAGGCCGGCAGGTGGGTAAGTGGCTGCCGTGGCATGACATGAGCACAGCCAGACTGGGGGTGACTGCTGCTGGCACAGGAGAGCGCACAAGCCACCCTGTGCTCTGCTGCCCATGCTGCCCCCAGCTGACCTTCACCGTCTTCCTCCCACTGCCTCACAAAGGGCCAGGCCAGGGCACGTCCATTCAGCAGCGAGAGGAATAAGACAGTGAACGTCAGCTAGGGGCAGTGGAGCGCAGAGCAGCCAAAAGGGCAGAGATGGGGAGATAGGTGGAGGGAGTTGAAGCACCCCTGCAGTCGTAAATGTGGGTGGGCTGCCAAGCACCCAAATTTTGATCACAATGATCATGGGGACGCTACAACAGCCGTAACTTGAGGACCAGGCGTAAGTACTGTTCGTTCAGTGCTGTTAAACTTTGGTCACTGAATGAATGGTTGTTAAGTGAGAACTACCTGTATTTTATTCTCTTTTCTTAGTAATACCAACATAAATGAAATTTTGGGTGGTCTGTTTGTCTTCTTCATGGGTCTTCAATATAGCAGGGCTTTAGGAAGATGGAAACTTCTGTAGAATTAAGAGATTATCACTGTTGTTATTATCATCATTATTTTAGATATCAAAGAGAGATTCACCAACTATGTGCTGTTACTGATAGTTTGCCTAAGAAATATGGAACAGTTTTCATGGAACCCAGGTAATGTCTGCTTTGAAACAAGTATTGAAATAAAATATTCTAAACATGTTCATATATATTAATTGTCAGTCATCTATTTCTCTGTCTGTGGCTATAATAAAATAAAATTGTTCACTTTATTTATTTTATTGTATTTGTTTTTCACTTCATTCTTTAGTTCCTGTCCTTGTATTGCCATTGGATTTTGAGTTCTGTCTGGTGCACAATTTTAATTCTATCTATTACAAGTTACTGAAGTGCTTTAAGTGACATACAGTGGTACCTTGGGTTACGAACGTAATCCGTTCTGTGACTCTGGTTGCAACCCGAATTGGTCGCAACCTGAAGCAAATTTCCCCATAAGGTTCAATGTAAATACGGTTAATCCGTTCCGCCCTCCGAACCTTCCAAAACGCCACAAAACACACCACAAGCCTCACCGAACGTCTTCTTGCTACCGCGATCTCGCCCACAGGAAGCCGCGACCGCGTGGCAGCAGGGAAAATGGCCGCGGATCTGGTTCGTAACCCGAGGCGGAGTTCGCAAACCGAGGTAAATTTTTGTGGCCAGAGCTGGTCGTAACCTGAAAAGTCCGTTAACAGAGGCGTTCGTAACCCGAGGTACCACTGTATTAACAAATTACCGCGCCCTGTATTTTGCTGTGCTCCATGCTTCTTCAGTAGGGCACAATTCATCTCAGTATATTTGGATATATGCAGCTTCACCCTTGTGTAGATCAGATTTTAGACCCTGATTGTGCCATGCGTGCTGATTAAATATCTGCACAAAGCTATTTCACCAAAAAAAGTTAGCTGCTTACATACTCTGTTGCTCCAAATATTGATTTATTCTGATGCCTTGCTGGAGAGAAGCCTAGGGTCATAAGAACTATTAATCATCACATTATTCGATTTTCATACCGCCATTCTGTTTGGGAAGAACACTTTCAAGTGACTCGCAGTTGAAAAAGACTGGATGGATGAGAAATGTATCTAGCATCTCTGTGTCATTTTCTCTTTCCTATTATTCCTGCTAGAGGAATGATGTGGGATGAAGGGCAACACAAGCCTTAAAACTTTTTACATGATGACTTGAAAGCATCTGACCTTTGAAACAAACACCATCTCCTGGCTCTGATTTCTACAAAGCAGTCTAGCCTTAGCCTAGCAGCTTAAGAAAGGAGCCTTCAACTGTGTTGCATATGATTAATCAGGATGGTAATTATGCTCTCTTCCACTAGTCTTATCATTTAAAACATTCCTTGGGGTTTTGCTCTTGTTGTTTCCACCTCCAGTTTGTTATGACTCTTTGTGGAGTTGATATAACAAGGTCTGCTTTGTTTCCCTTGCACTCCTGGAGCCTCAAAGATGCTCACTGAAAATGCTGTTCAAGGAGCCATTGACGGCTTGGAGGTTCCTTGGCACATTTTGTTAGAAGAACGGCAACATCTTCTCCGGTTGAGGAGAGAGGGCTTCCTAAAGGAGACTTGCAGAGCCAGTTTTTTATTTAATTGAGAAATCAGTGACTCCTTTGATCTTGCTGAGACCATCTTCATAAAACTCTGAAAGCCCAAGGTCTTATGAGGCTGTCTGGGAAGAGAAAATTGAACACCTTGAATGACTCTTTACCTGCAGAATTTTCCTTCCGAGAATTGAAAGTATATTGTGAAGGACTCTGCTCTGCATATATTAGGCGGTTGGGGGAAATGCAAAAGAGCAGCCAATATGATGTGGCGTATTCTGCCTATGTAGATTTTTATAGACATTCCATATATTTTTAGGTCACTTCTTTTTGTTCCATGCCAAGTTTATTTCTGTGAATTTCCTCCTTCTTTTACAGATCATCTGTGGGTATTGTTCCCGGATGTCTGTATGGTGATTGCATCAGAGGTTGCCGTTGACATTGTGAAACATGCTTTTATAACCAAATTCAATGACATCACAGCCGATGTAAGTGTATAGCTGAACATTTCCAATTGATTGGACCAGCTCCGCTCTAGGTTTCCTAGAGGAAATGAGGGAAGTGTTATCCTGCCTTTCCCACCCGTGCATAAGGAGGCCATCGCCCGATTTTTATGTACAGTGCTGTTTTGGTTGATGGTCCTCATATTTAGCCTCTTCTTTTTAAAATCCATATGTGTATTGTTACAGTATTGAAATACGAAGGAAATAGAAAAAAGCAAATATTGAAGTACAAAGAAGTTAAAAAGAAAAGCAAGATGATACCAAAACACCTGCTATTTTTGAATTTTTTAAAGAAAATGAGAAAGAAAATTACTTTTCCACCCCGAGGTTCACCTCTTTCCTTCCACTTGCATCCCCCAACCAGGAGCCACAGTTTAGATCAGTGTTTCTGCCTGGGGAATGCTGGGAGTTGGAGTCCACGCATCTGAGGTTGAAAAACCCTGGTTTAGATACTTGAACTTTGCATTAAACAATAATTGTTATTTCTGTTTGAGTCCTAAAAACCATATGTCTAAATCTGCCTTGCTCTGTGATATATTCTATATAAGGGAGTCATTCCTGCTTGAATTTAGTTAAACTTGTATGGTCAGTTTTGGCATGGCAGCTTATTCTCCCATTTTAGTCTCCCTGTGTAATACTATACGCAAGGTGTCTCTTTTCCAGTGTTGCACTAGGTTTATTCTTGCTGCAATCAACACATATTGTAATATTTATTAAATCCTCAGTTTTGGCCTTTATTACAGATATGCCAAAGCTGAACTGTGGATGCAGGACTTCCCTCTAATCTTTTAAATTACCTTTTTTTTTTACCCATACCATCTATGGGGGCAAGGTAGGATGAAAAACAGACCAGAAAGTTTCTTTCTGCAAAAGAGCCTTTATTTAAGAGTACTGTTGTTGTTTTCCTACTGGAATATATTTTAAAATGCTCCCAAATTAAGTGGACCAGCAGTGAATTCCCAGCGGTACTTTCAGAGCAGGAGGGCATGGCCCTTCTGTCTTTAAACTATAAGATGAGGTTCTAGTAAGTCCAACTTATATTTATTTTTAAAACTATATTTGAACTGCAGTAGCTTGTTATAAGCAAGAAGGAAAGTAAATTGTAATTTTTTTTCATCATGTGTTTATGTCCTGTGGAAGGCAGGCTCACATTGAGGATGAGTTTGTTGTTGCTTTAAAAGATTTAATAAAGGTACCTAGCAAATTCCCTAAAGGCATTTTAATAAGTTTACCTAATAATGGCAAAAGTTATCACAGTTGCACAGTTATCACTAGAAATTATAGTTCCTGCTTACTGGGTTTGCTTTGAGATCAGAATCATGAAGCATCTTGTTAAAACGTGGATGGCTTAATTTTTTTCCCCAAAAGTTTTGAAAGCCGTACTACTCTTCCAAATCCCCAAGATTTTGATGCTGAACCTGAATTGGGTTTAGTCACTTTAAAAGAGTCTTATGTTAAAGGCTTATTGAAAAGCTTGTACTATAGGCCTTCCTAAGTTTTCATCCAGTTTTTAAATTTTAATGATTTTAGTATAATCTTACAATACGGTTTCTATACTTTAATTCCAGCTATAATGTCTGTTGAAGCCTCTAACTGTTGGGGTCTGTCTATACCTGGGAAGCTGCAGGAAGAGGCCTCTCTTAGCTGCTGACTGAAAGGTGAAGAGAGAATGGTTATCACTCTCTCTTCATCAAGTCACCCACTGTCCTCCATGTAGAAAGAGAAAATAAGAAAACCCATACCAGCCACAGAAAAAAGTTCCTTTCAGCTGTCATTAGGAGTATGTCAAGCCCAAGAAGAGGTTTTGACCCCTGGTCAGAACCCACCAACTTTGTTCTTCCAGATCTCTTGGTTCCTTTCAATGGATGATCTACACACTTTCTCATCTTCTTGTATCCTCCTTTTAAGGACGCACACGCCACCCACAAGCAACCAAATGGGTTTTGTTGCCATCTGTCTTAGGATTTTGATTTCTGCACATGTTGTCCCCTGGCTACATGAACACTCAAAAACAAACAGAGTGAAAGGGTTTTTCATGTGCAAATTTACGTATCTTTTCTCTCTAATGATAAATGCCTGCTACTAGTCTATCCAATGGTTAATAAAGGGATCTGCATATGTTATCCTGTTCCCAGGTATACAGTGAATACAGAGCCAGCCTTGCCTTCGACTTTGTTAGCAGTCGGCAGAAAAACGTAAGCGGTAGAATGAAGTTTTTATACATATGAGCTCATACACCCTGGTTTTATTCAGGAAGCAGTGGGAAATGTGCACATTTAATTAGATTTACTTGCAATTTAATTTTACATTAAGAAGAAACTCGAAAGCATTGCAATCGGAGAGATCACTGTATGTAACTTGGATCTCTATGTGAAGTTGGATTTCCTAAAAAAAAACACCCCTATGGCTACAGGTGCAGAACTTAATTTCCAATATTCCTAGGAAATGTTCTCACTTGCACTATGTATGTCATAATGAACAATGAATAAAACCATTCATCGCTATACCTGTTTATTTGTATGATCCCAGGGCCTTCTGTTAGATAATTTAGGAGTAACAATAAACTCTCCTAGTGATAAAATGGACATGTTTCTGTTGTTTTTGTGGCAACAATTATGGAAATAGTTTGCCTTTTCCTTCTTCCAGTGTGTATTGGAAGGCTCAGGATGGCCTGCAGGATGGTAATTTCTTGATGCTCTCCCATCTAAGGACTAACCAGATCTGATTCGCTTAGTTTTTTCAGCTAGGTTCTGTCCCTGTGAACCACTAAAGTCTGCTGACCAGTTGTGAACTGGCTTTTAATTTCCTTTGTAAACTCCGTGATTTTAAGCTAAATCAATTGCAAGATGCAAACGTACTTAAACTTCTTAATATTTCAATATTTTGCCGGTTCCAGTTGTTTTTTTCATGTTCTGCTCTCTACCTGCAGGCGTATACAGATTACAGTGACTCTGTTTCCAGGAGAATGGGCTTTATTCCACTCCCATTGGCTGTTTTAGTAAGTTATAACTTTTTTTCACATAATAGCTGGTGAAAATTGCAACAGAGGATGAAATAATATTTTCTTGAGCATGTCAATTAATAAAAATAAAATAATACTAACTCTTACTTTAAAATTGGGATAGCTCTGTACTGTTGTTGTGGAGTTGATGAACAAGATTTTCAGGTTAAACTGAGATGACTTTTTGTCCTGGGTTGGAGTGTGTGTTATTGAAACAAAATTGTATGCAGCCAGTATCTGTTAAAATAGTTAATTTAACATGGGTTATCATACATATTACATAATAGTTTAAGTAACTTAAATAATAGAACTACACACTCCTCCCTTTTCAGAAATCTTTTCAATCCTGTTATTTCTCTTTCTAGCTCATCAGAGTTGTTACAAGTTCTGTAAAAGTCCAAGGGGTCTTGTCCTATTCCTGTGTAATTCTTTTCTATTGTGGGTAAGTGCAAATCAAACCATTGTGAAAAGCTTATTTGTAGGAAAATCAGAATACGAAAAATCAACATGCAAAAAGCCGCATAATAATGTCACATTTTGCTACTAGTAAAAATATATCAGCACACCAGAAGTGGTAATAGCTGCTGATGGAAAGCATCTAAAAAAAATATTAAGAACAAAGACCATTTCTTAGTCATGACAGTGACTGCTTAATCCCACAGATTTTTTTTTTCCATTTAGCTTTTTAAAAAAATATTTTTAATTAACTAAATTTTAAAAAATGAAGAAAAAAAGAGTACACAAAATTATAAAAGGAACAAAAGGAAACAAAAACTTACAAAATGTGTATTTGCAGACATACATACAGTACTGTGCAAACATTTTAGGCAGGTATGAAAAAATGC